CAGTGGAGGAATGAATCAGGAACAACCATGATAATTGGGCTGAAGTCATTAACTGTAAGTAAGCGATAATTAAGACAATGGGATGAATTAATGAGGAACTACTTATTGTATAACTTTATCTTGGTGAGCGCACCAAAAAGCAGTAACTGTAAGGTGTTAAAATAAGAAGAGTTTTGGTTCAGAGTATACGAACACTCCTTCTCACTAAAAAGACTTGCTCTCACTCACAAAAATAAGACAGAAATGTAGTTGTGTGTGTATCAAATGAGAGAGAGGCCCAAAGTAATACACAAACGCATACTCCCATCACCGGGTGTCTAACGTGAACAAAAAAAACACAAACGAATATCACGATTATTTTAAGTGTTATACCAACTAATGAAAAACATATACCTGAGTTAAGTTTATATTCCATGTTCAGGCACAATAGATCTTACCTATGTACACCACACTGGACCTTTAATATTCATTAAACTTAATCATTAACTAATTTGACATTTTTAGGTAGGAGTTTACTTATGCATCCATAAGCAGTCAGTTTTCATTTCTGTGCTCATATCCTCTGCAGGTCTCTCAGATACTTTAATAATTCCCAGGGGTGAAATGACTTACTCTGTTCGGATCACTGAGCAGAAAGCAATGTTTGGTAATAAATTGGTTGTTAAAGTCATTTTGTTTTTTCTTAAAGACTTTACAGCCTGTATTAATTTTCTTTTCTCTCCAGAAACTTTTGGTTTTAACTGCAAACTTTTCTAATTACTCCTTAAAACAAGAAGGCCTCACGCCACCTGGTGAACTTGGTGGCCCCCTGTAGTATTAACTAATGAGTTCTTATGAGGTTAAGATTTCCGCTCTTTCTGTCTCTAATGAGGACAATGGAAATACGTAATTGTGTCTTGCATCTCTCAACCAATCTTTAATTGTATGCCAGTGTTTTGCAATCTTTTCTTTACCCTTTTAGTATTTAATTGAATGATCTATTTTAGCTTGGAAAACTATGTACATTTGATCAGTATCAGATTATAATCACATGTATCAACATGTTCGTCAGGTGGCTCATGGGCCTCACAAAGGGAGTTGGGGTGTTTTATTTTTAAAGCTTAGTTAGAGGAAAAACCTGCTCCCTGGATGTATCCTCATTAATTAGTCTTTTTACCACGGCACCATTATTATCTTTAACATGCCTGGATATGACATCCATCCATTACATCACCACTTACAGTAGATCAGCCAGCAAACACCACTCGACTCTACTACTGTATCTTCCTTAAGCACCTTGGAGACATCTCCCCCTTTTAGATTTCCAGTACATTAGTTAAATCGTCCTTCGTAAGTAAGAAGTGTAAATATATAATTCGGATTTCATTTTAGACTCATTAACTATATTTCTTTATGGGTCATAATTCAGCAGTGCTAAAATTACATTACTGATTGTACTTTTAAGCTCGCCACGAAAGAAGTCCCTCCTGTGAGCTCACACAACACTCAAGAGACAACATGTACAGTCGTTTGTATTAAATGTTGACATGCAGTAAGTGGTCTTTTATAACAGGATCTCCCCCACTAGGGGCCACCAAAGCTTCACAGGTGGTCGTGAGGCCTTCTTGTTTTAAGGGGTACATTAGAAAAGTTTGCAGTTAAAACCAAAGTTTCTGGGATGAGAAAGAAATTAATACAGGCTGTAAAGTCTTTAGAAAAAACAATGACCTTTAACAACCATTTTATTACCAACATTGCTTTCTGCTTCAGTGATCCTGACAGAGTAAGTCATTTCCCCCTGGGATTATTAAAGTATCTGAGAGACCTGCAGCAGGATATGAGCACAGAAATGAGAAACTGACTGCTTATGGATGCATAAGTAACTCCTACTCAAAAATGTCAAATTGTTAATGATTAGTTAATGAATACTTAAAGGTCCAGTGTGTAACATAGGAGGATCTATTGGCTGAAATGGAATATAATACTTATAGGTATGTTTTCATTAGTGTATAATCACTTTAATATGTGAATCGTTGTGTTTTTGTTACCTTAGAATGAGACGTTTTTATACTGCTACTTCATTAATATCTGTGAATTGATCATAGAGAGCACGAAGGAGCTGTTTGTTAACTCTGAACCAAAACTCATTCATTATTTTAACATTAGTTACTGTTTTTGTGCTCCCCAAATAAAGGGTTACTACAATAAGTAGTTCCTCATTAATTCATCATTGTCTTATTATCGCTTACTTATTAATGATTCAGCAATTATCATGTTGTTCCTGATTCATTCCTCACTTGTTTCTAAATAAAGTAATCATTAATTAGTTGACTGAAATTTGATTAGATAAAATAAATAAATAAAAAGTCATTTGTTTTCTAGTAATTAATCAAAATGTTGTGTCGGAAAAATTGGAAACTGTGACCAAAGGGAATAAAAACAAGCTGAGCTCCAACTTTTTAAACCATTTTGATGAAATTTAAATTGTTGGCAAACAGCCCAACCTACATGAGCTTGTTTTGAGCGTCTGAAGCTGGTTTCTGATTGGTTGTGGGGACTCAAATACGCTAACACAACTTAAATGTGGTGGAAACAGCATCTGACAGACGTTGACATTGTGCTTTCTCCCTCTCGCTCCCTGCATCAGGCATCCCTGACGGAGGTGAAGAAGACGAGAGGGGACGTTCCTGATATTCTTCCAGAGCCTGAACCGGAGCCAACCAGCCCAGTGTCCGACTTTGAAAACTCATACAACTATGTCTGTGAGTCTGCATATTCACATCCAGAGCAGGTTTAAATAGACACTGTGTGGAAAATATCTTCACATAAAACTAGTCTAGTTTTATTTAATGAATTCAACAATTCCTCTATTACATCCTATTATATTCTATTCCTCAGTGTCCAGACTCGCTGGTATGGACCAGGCCATCCACAAGCTGAATGTTGGTCACTACACTCTGGATGTTAAAGTCAGCCAGTTGATGGATCGTCTGATTAGGATGGATGGTAACAAAAATCTTCTGATTACATCCACATTTTCATTTTTTTGGGACTTTTTGTTGCCATAAAACCCATTCATACAGTTTTTATAATCTATATTTCTTTCCACAATGGACAAATGAAGGATAAAAGTGGATAAGTTGAAAGAAAAGTCAAGAGAACGATGCTCTGTACTGACTGTCTCCTTGTTTTTGTCCCCAACATGGCAGCTAAAGTCGGGGAGCTGGAGGACAACATCCGTGAGGTCTACCAGCACAGCAAAGACAACCGCAAGGAGACGGGAAGACTGGAAGGTAAAGAGCTGAGTCGTCTGTAGAAATAGATTCATGCAGATAAATAACACTTGTAGATAATAATAGGTGATTTATTATTTCTCCACTCTGTATTTGTTTTAAGTGGGATTGCGAATGCTGTCGGGTGTGAATATTAGACACACAAACACAACTCCACATTACTACTAATTAACTCTCCGTCTGCTGTATAAAAAGAGTTGTTTACGTACATTCAGCAACTTTATAAAGCAACAATATATCAATGTTGTGTTTACAGCCTGTTGCACTGCCCCCAAGTGGCCAACAAATGCATTAATGGAGGTTTTAAAACCTTTTTTGTAAACATCTGTCCTGTTTTTCTCTCATTCTTAGGCTGCCAGAAAGGACGCAGGTTGGGATACAAATGTTATCTCGTGTACAATAGTTACGAGGACTACGCCGGAGCGTCCAGGAAGTGCATGGAGCGCGGGGGCCGCATGGCGATGCCCCGTGACCGCAAGGAGCAGGAGGCCCTCGCCGACTACGTGAAGGCTTTCTTCAACCCGGGGAACTGGCCCGTCTGGCTGGGCATCAACGACCTGCGATCCGAGGGCATGTACCTCTTCGACGACGGGACGCGGGTCTCGTACTTCCAGTGGCGCAGACACTTCCTGTCCAGCCAGCCGGACGGAGGGAGGCGGGAGAACTGTGTGGCGATGTCGTCAGACGACGGCGACTGGTGGGACCACTACTGCGATCGGACCATGAACTATCTCTGCGAGTTTGATGACAGGGAGGCACTTTAAAACGCCAATTGATGATCAATTATAAATACAATTCCATAATATTTTCAAATAACTTATTTCCCTTTAAAAGACATTTTTAATATACCTGGATTGGTTGTATTCAAAGGTGAGGAAGTGTTTAATTCTAACTATAGTGTGTCTTAATATAAATATCCAGTCCACTTCCATATGCAGTTAGTGTAGCAATGATTGAGCAGCGTCAGAAAAAACATTTGCCATGAAAATATTTAACGGTATTTTAGAGTTTTAGGAGGTGAAACTTTTCTCAAATGCGCACAAATTCATGTATCGCTATTTACCGTAAAACTCAAAAAAGCAGAGGCAGGTTTCCTTTACTAGCCTGACCTAAAAGTTCTCAATTAGAGGCCTGGATTTTATAGAAGTAATTTGTTTAAAACCTCTTGAAGCCCACGAAGCTGCTTAGATCACCTACACGGATATAAATGTTTAAACTTTTGTCAATATGGACATAATTCACGTCGTTCGATCAGTTAAGTTCTCCACAATTCAATCGATCAGTTAATTTTACGGAAACCACAAGCACCAAAGTATCAAATGCTCAAAAGAATGATTGATTGTTATTCATTTTTATACAAATAATAATTACACTGGTTTGAATAGTATTATTAATAGAATTAAAAGCCTGTTCCTTATAGAAACCTGTTGCAGATAAAGGAGTTCAGTGAGAAATAAAAGCTCTGACTGTCACTTTAAGTTTTACGGTAAGTTCTGAAAGTACTGAATAAGACTTAATCAGATTATGTTAGTATTATAAATATTATATTACTCGTGCAGCTGCAGTGATATGAATGTAAACCAGTCAGGACTCTATTCTAAATATTTGTTCAAAGTTTCCAACAAAAAAAAAAGGGGAAAACCTGAAAAGCTGGAGGCACTTTCTCCAGAATCAGCACATACTGAACCTCTTGAAAATATAAATCAGTGTGTATTTGGGCTCAACAGGAATTACACACTGTTATTTCTGATCTTCGAAGATATTTCAACAAAGTCTAGTACCGAGTGTTATTGCCCTGTTAGACTGCTGATTCTTGTCTGGCCGGAACATTTTTTAGAGCTGTTGTCTCACTTCTGAATCACCATTCAACCCCCCAACATGACGCACCATCCATCACTGTATGTAAATGAGTCCTGAATGAGAAAGTTGTACATAAAATGTTGAATGTAAATGTTCTTTCATAAATCTTTACTAAAGGTTGACACGGTTTACAGCCTCATTTTATGATCAAAACAATGGGAGATTTGCCTTATTACCAGGGCTGGGTAATGTGTACAGCAGTGGTTCCCAACATGGGGGTCGGGACCCACTAAGGGTCGCCCCAAGCTTCGCAGTGGAAGAAAACTTTTTAAATGTTTAGATTATTATTTAAGATCTAAACTTTGAAGTGCTGAACAAACGTTTTATTAACAGAGCTTCACTCTCTGATAAACTGCCTCGTCCTGCATTAGAAAAATACATAGTTTATACAACCAAAGAACTAAAAGAACAACAATGCCAGGGATAAGAAAACACTAAATTTATTTAAAAAAAAATGTGCCTATTAAGTATATATAATTGTTAAAAAACAAATAAGAAAATTACATAATACAGAGGTTTTCTGAACCTACTGTTGTACAATTTATCAGTTCTAATATGAATATTAATAAATATTCATGAATTTTGAGCATATTTTTCTTGTTTAGGGAACATTTTTTATACATGTCTCTGTCTGTATTATGTATTTATTCTAATCTTTAAACATCTAACAGACTTAATAGGCTTCTTTTTTGACAAATTCAGTGTTTTCTTGTCCCTGACACTTTCTATTACAGTTTACTTTACATTTCTTCACAGAAGTGAACCAAATGCTGAAATATCGACCTACTGTGTATGTTTTTTACGTTTTATTTTACCCTGTAATATCAAGGCCTTGCGACCCCCCGTGAAGCTTTAGCGACCCCTAGTTTTGGTCCTAATACCTAAATGATATTGAATTGTTATCGAACTCCCTTACCTTAAATCTGTTTTCTATAGATAAATGATAAATGCTGTTAAACTACATACAACTGTACAAGAACTCTGACAACATAAAACTAAAATTACCCACAATTTTTATTTAAAATCGGTAACAATCTGATACAATAAGAGCACAAAATTACAAATCTTACCAGACAGTGAATGCCAGCTTTGAAATAGTTTGATACATTTCAGTTGACAGCATAAAGGCATTAAGATTTGATTACTGAGTGATTTTAATGTCTCATAGTTTGAGACAATGAGCTTATTTTATTAATGGATATGAAAAGATCGGATCTGTAGCAGCTATTGTATTTTTAAGGGTAAAGTTTCATAAAGTTGATGATTTCTGGGTAAAGTAGTAATTTGTACCCAAAATTAAAACCAGTACCTCTCGCTACCACCGCCAAATCTGCTTAAAGCACCTTTAAAGTAAAATGAAATGTCTGATAAAGCAAATTATTCATACTTGTGTGTATAATTAAGTTGTGATCCTGCAGTACCGCTCATTTAAAAAAATGCTCCCATCACAACACGGACACAACAAACGAACATCAGTCGTCTTTGCTTCACAGTTCTGCATCGGTCACGCCTCTTCATGGAGTCATGAGGGTGAGATGTGACGTCATAAACGTGAGTCAAAGAGCCGCTCTTCCTCTGAGGTGTCAGTGTCGTTGTGTTAAGACCCAGAAACCACCGGACCGGATTCTACTGGTCCACAGCCTTCAGGATGTCCTTCACGGGCGGCCTGTCCAGAGGGTTCTTAGACGGGTGACAAAGAAGGACTTTCCCTTCTTTATCCAGCAAGAAGTCTCCTCCCAGCTGAAAAGATACCAACACATTAAAGCTTGTACTGAACGTTAAGGTACAACGGAGGCTTCGGGTTTACACACAATAATAATCATTTTTTTAATATCTCGACTAATATTGTAAATATAAATAAACAACAGGCGTCTTTCTGTTTATATTCAATGTGTATTTTCATGTTATCCTCACTTAATCATCTGTTATGTTCTATGTGTGTAGCATAAAGGGACTAATGCTGATAAATTAAATGATATTATACCTTGTAAAATCAGTAAAACATACTGCTGACACAATAATGAGATAACTGAAGCCATAAAAGTGTTATTACATTTATAAAAGTTATTTTAATAGCACACAAGTGCTTAAAAATGTTAACTATTGAGTACGTTAAACAAATATTACTGTTTAAACATTACTATTTCTTTGTTTATTGTTCAGTACAAAGAATTAATAAAAGCTCTCCTGTATTTTATAAGATATTGTTTTATTGATCGATAACTATTCAAACCACTTACAAACACAATGCACGCCACAAAAAGGGGCGTTACAGGAAGTTAAAACCACGTATTTCCTTGTTTTTTGTCATCGATTCATCGATGTGTCGTCCATTCGTACCTGGTAGATATCTTCCAGCAGGCGAAGGGGGACATCGGGGAGCTCCCTGTTATTGGTTTCGTACTCTGAGTACTGCAGCAGGCAGCTGAAATTGATCACCTTGGCGTAGGACGAGCCGAGGCCAAAACTCCTGTAAATCTGTGGCACAGAGCAGAAGACTGTGTTAGAAAAAGGGCACCACTTCCAGCAGGTTTATATCATCAAAAGGAGAAAGGAAAGAACATCAAGCTTTGGATTTCAGCAATGTGAACTTCTCTGGACGACCTCATCAGGTTCTTCACACACTTAATGATTGACGATTGCTTCTGTGGCATGTGGAAAATCTCCTGTTTTCATATTTTGGTTGATTGCCCTCGTTTCCAGCTCACATCTGCTAACATCTGGTGGTTGACTTGAATGGTTTTATGAGGCTCAGCTTACCGAGGCTTGTATGACACATCATCAAACAGCTGCTAAACCCTGTGTTTGTGCTGAGTCACAGCCATTTCTAGTTTCCATAAATTACAGCTTTAATTTTCATGCACCTGCTCACCAGCACTGGATATCAATATGTCGACAGTTTCATATAATACAGACGCAGGTTTGATCCACTGTAATTAGATTTTTTGTATTTAAATTTTACAGAGGAAGCCAAATCCTAGTTTTTTAAAATCCATAACATCTCCTCATTACACGGTGTATAAACTCTGCCTCTATGTTTTATATGTAGTTCTTACTTTATGACAAATGTTCCCAACAATGTTCAAACTC